TAGTGGGGTGCTCTATAGCGAGTACAACCCTGTTAGGGTTTGCTATTTGTATCCCCATTCTTGCTAGTCAACCCTCCTCTTTCTTTCTTCTAATTTTGTCATGCTATCAGAGCAGGTCGATCCCCTTGGATCGATCCTGTGGGTGGATTACCACCACCTCGTTGCTTCCGCTGCAACTTCTACTGCTACTCTCTGTGCCGCACGCCCCGTGGCGTGCGGCTGTTTTTCTTCCCGCCGTGCGCCCCGAGGCGCGCGGCGGTTTTCTGCCTGCCGTGCGCCCCGAGGCGCGCGGCGGTTCTCTGCCCGCTGTGCGCCCCGAGGCGCGCGGCGGGCTTTTGCCTCGACGCTCGGCGCGTCGCCCTCGGGAGGCGCTGCGACGGGCGACGGGGACCCGCGCGCCGGCACGTCGACGCGCGTGCGCTGCTGCCCCGGCTCGTCGACGCCCGTGCGCCGCTGGCCCGACCCGTCGCCGCCCGTGCGCCGCCCGTCCCGGCCCCGCGCAGCTGCTCTGGCCCGTCGCCGCCCGTGCGCCGCCAGCCCCGGCCCGTCGCCGCCCGTGCGCCGCTGTCCCGGCCCCACACCGCCCGTGCGCCGCCAGTCCCGGCCCCGGCCCCGCCTGCAGCCCCCCCCCCCCCCCCCCCCCCCCCTTTTCCCGTCGCCCGTCGCGGCTCCCTCGGGGGCCGCTCGACAGGCGACGGGAGGACAAACCCTGGGGGAGGGGGGCGAGCGCCGCCCCCCCCCTTCTGCTGCCTGTCTTGGAGCCCTGGGCGGCCGCGCGTCGGTTCCCCCCCCCCCCCCCCCCCCCCCCCCCTCCCCTCCCCCTCCCCCGTAACCTCCCTACCCGCCATCCCGCCCTGCCTGAGTTAGGGTTTGGGGAGTGGCGAGTAGGGGGTGGCGAGTATGGGGGTGGCGGGTGTGTGGTCTCCCTTGCTCCTCCTCCTCCTCTGTCTCCCACTGCTGCAGCTGCCGCTGAGGGGGGTGGGTGTGTGGGAGTCGCTGGAGTCGTGCTAGGGGGTGGGGTGTGAGTGACCCTAGGGGTGCAGTAGGGGGTGTGTGCAAGGGGGGGTGAGACTGTTTGGGGAGCTGAATGAAGGATGCCGCTGTGTCGCTAGCAGCACCTGTAGTCCGGGGGCTTCGTCCGGTAGCTCAGTCGTAGCCAGCTGTGCCAGCCGCCCGTGGGTCCGTTGCTCGTCTGCCGCTACTTTAGCCGCGGGGCCAGTTACCCCTGTAGTCCGGGGGCTTCGTCCGGTAGCCGCTGTGCCAGTCTGCCTCCTGTTGCCCGTGTGTCTGCAGCTTCATCCGTCGCCTCCTATCTCCTTTCCTCTCACTCTCGCCTCCTCCTTCTCACTTGCCCTCTGCGATAGCCTCTAGCTTTGCTCATAATTCTTAACTTTAAACTATTGCTTCTTGAACTTGTGCTCAGAATGTGTGGTGACATTGTGATCCACCCTGAGCTTGTACTGCTTTGCTTGCTCTGCTGATTTCACCCCACTTTGGCTATGGGGGTGTGTCAGAATGTTCTTATCTAGCATGTAGTGGGGTGCTCTATAGCGAGTACAACCCTGTTAGAGTTTGCTATTTGTATCCCCATTCTTGCTAGTCAACCCTCCTCTTTCTTTCTTCTAATTTTGTCAACTAACACTTTGTCGGTGTTGACCAGGGATAGATGCATGCTTAGTTGACGGCACACCGCTGGCCATACGGGAGAAGGTGGAGAGAGAGTAAAAGTCCGCTGCGGGGGGAACTTCGGGTTTACACAGGAAATGCTCGCGACAACATTGTGTTAGAATGTTATTATCTAGCCTGTAGTGGGGTGCTGTATAGCGAGTACAACCCTGTTAGGGTTTGCTATATGTATCCCAACTGCTGCTAGTGAAACCGCTCCTTTCTTCATTTCTCTCTTGCCTAGCTAGCTAAGCCCTAGCTATGGCTCCTCACTATGCTCACTCTCTCAACATGCTATCAGAGCATCTACGCTTCTGGCCTGTGGGCCCACCTAACTACTTCCGCTGCTACTCTGTCTGTTGCACGCCCCGTGGCGTGCGACTCCTTCTTCCTGCTGATTTTTTTTTTCGGGTTTTCTGACCGCCGTGCGCTCGGGGCGCGCGGCGGTTTTCTGCCCGCCGTGCGCCCCGAGGCGCGCGGCGGTTTCCTACCTTGGGGACCCGCGTGCGGCCCCCGCCCTGCTCGTCGCGGCGCCCTGGGGAGCACGCGCGGCCCCCGCCCTGCTCGTTGCGGCGCCCTGGGGAGCAAGCGCGGCCCCCACCCTTCACGTCGCGGCGCCCTGGGGAGCCACGTGCGGCCCCTCGCTGCCCCATGGTGGCGCCCTGGGGGCCGGGAGCCACCCCTGGAGCCGCGCGCGGCCCCTCGCTGCCTCGCGGTGGCGCCCTGGGGAGCACGCGCGGACCCCCGCCCTTCACTTTGCGGCGCCCTGGGGAGCCGCGCGCGGCCCCTCGCTGCCCCGTGGTGGCGCCCTGGGGGCCGCGCGCCGCCCTCTTCGCCGTCTTCCGCGCTCCTACCTTGTGCCACCCGCTTTAGGGTTTGGGGGTGGGGAGTGTGGGGTGGACGGTTGTGGGGGTGCCGGTTGTGTGCGTCGTCCCCTGCTCCTCCTCCTCCTCCGTCTCCCGCTGCTGCAGCTGCCGCTCAGGGGGGTGGGTGTGTGGGAGCCGAAAGAGTGGTGCTAGGGGGGTGACGTGGGAGTGGAGTTAGGGGTTCAGCAGGGGGTGTGTGTAAAGGGTGTGGGTCAGTTGGAGGAGGTTGTGTGGAGGTAGCTGTCGTGTCGCCTGCAGCGCCTGTAGTCCGTCGCCCTTGCTTCGGTAGCCAGTGAGCCTGTTGCACCAATCACCAGTGGGTCCGTTGCTCCTGCCGCTCGTCTATAGCCGCGGAGCCAGTCACTCCAGTAGTCCGTCGCCCTTGCTTTGGTAGCCACTGAGTCAGCCGCTCCTGTGCCCGTGCCTTTGCAGCTTCAGTCGTTGCCTCCCATCTTCTCTCCGTCCACAGTACTCTCCTCCTCCTCACTTGCCCTCTGTGATAGCCTCTAGCTTTGCTTGCCATTGTGAACCTGCTCTATGACTGTGTGCTCTGCTGATTACACCCCACTTTGGCTATGGGGGTGTGTCAGAATGTTATTATCTAGCTTGTAGTGGGGTGCTCTATAGCGAGTACAACCCTGTTAGGGTTTGCTATATGTATCCCAACTACTGCTAGTGAAACCGCTCCTTTCTTCATTTCTCTCTTGCCGAGCTAGCTAAACCCTAGCTATGGCTCCTCACTATGCTCACTCTCTCAACACATTGGATGGGCACGATATTTTACTAGGACGTGATAAGCTGCGACGGTATAACCGCAAATTGACTGGACGACGGGTAGCTGCACTATGCGAAGTAGCGGTAACTGGGCTGAACTACCACACTGGAAGTCACCTGAGTCTTCAACGGTCCACGTCAACGCCATCACAATGAGACGGAATGTCGCCGCTGGAGCTGACATGTACGCAGTGGACATCACAATAGTAGGAGAAGTAGAGCAGCCGAACGATTTTCAGAAACTATAGGCAGCGGTACCACCCGAACTGCAAGAACTATTGAAAATGTACCCGGAGATTATTCCCGATGACTTACCGGAGGGACTGCCACCTCAGCGGGCACACGATCATTGAATAATGTTAGAACTGAGGGCACAACCAACCGTACAGCGATAGCTCAGATTGACACAGCCCGAGCTCGACGAACTGAGGGAGCAGTTAGATTACCTGTCAGAGAAATTTGTCAGATTTACATGACATAGCTATTGTAGGCTATAGTGGGGTAGCACATATGGGGTACGACTTTCTAGGGTTTGTACTTGTACCCAGCTTTCCCTTAGTCAATTCTTTCTTGTTCATTTTCTCATGGTATCGAGCAGGTTCCCCTGTGGGAACTGTTCCTAGGGCCCACCACCTTTTTTTTCCTGCCCGGAGCGCGCTCTACTCTGCCCGAGTCGCGCTCCCCTCTTTCGACCCCGTCGCGTCGCCCTCGCGGCCCCGTCACGTCGCGCCGCCCTCGCGGCCCCGATCCGCCGCCCTCACGGCTCCGTCGCGTCGAGCCGCCCTCGCGACCCGTTCGAGCCGCCCTCGCGACCCCCCCCCCTCCTAGCCGCCCTAGCGGCCCCGTCGCCTACTCCTGCGGCCCCGACGCCGCCCTTCCCGGCCCCGGCGCCGCCCTTCCCGGCCTCGACGCCGCCTCTGCTGGCCCCGTCGCCTACCCTGCGGCCCCGACGCCTACCCTGCGGCCCCGCCGCCTACCCTGCGGCCCCGGCGCCTACCCTGCGGCCCCGTCGCCTACCCTGCGGCTCCGTCGCCCACCCTCCGGCCCCGCCGCCTACCTTGCGGCCCCGGCGCCGCCCTTCCCGGCCCCGGCGCCGCCTCTGCTGGCCCCGTCGTCTACCCTGCGGCACCGAAGCCTACCCTACGACCCCGTCGCCGCCCTTCCCGGCCCCGGCGCCGCCTCTGCTGGCCCCATCGCCTACCCTGCGGCCCCGTCGCCTACCCTGCGGCCCCGTCGCCTACCCTGCGGCCCCGGCGCCGCCCTTCCCGGCCCTGGCGCCGCCTCTGCTGGCCCCGTCACCTATCCTGCGGCCCCGGCGCCTACCCTGCGGCCCTGGCGCCTACCCTACGGCCCCGGCGCTACCCTACCGGCCCCGCCGCTGTCCCCACGCGGCCCCACCGTCACCACCGAGCCGCCGGCGCCGCCGAGCAACTGCCGAGCCGCCCGAGCCACCCGAGCCGCCCGAGCCGCCGCGCCACCTGAGCCGCCCGAGCCGCCGAGTCGCCGGGCTACCGAGCCGCCGTACCGCCGAGTCGCCCGAGCCGCCAGAGCCGCCGAGTCGCCGAGCAGCAGTTGCTGCCGAGCCGCCGTACCGCCGGCTGCTGAGCCGCCCGAGCCTCCCTGTCCGGTAAGAGCAGCGCCTCTCTCACTGCACTGCCCTTACCCTACTGTTCGCGCTGCTAGTCTACTGCTGTCATGGCTACCCCTAGTGTCCTCGCTTTTGACGCTGAGGGTCGGGCCATTGACTTTGACGTCTGGGTAGATGACCTGCAGCTTTTCCTCCAGCGCGATAGGGCAGACGGTCTCTCCCTCTTTGACCTCACTTCTAGTGCCTCTCCTGCCCCTGCTGCTCATGCTGACGCCAGTGTTTGCTCACAGTGGGCCAAACGCGATGCTGCTGCACGTCTTGTTGTGCGTCGCCACCTACCTACCTCTAAGCGAGCGCACTTTAGCCAGTACAAGAGTGCTCAGACCTTGTACGACGCTGTAGTTGCACGCTACTCCTCCCCTGCCACTGCTGCACTGAGCCGTCTCATGCTACCGTACCTCTTCCCTGACCTTGCTGCCTTTCCCACAGTAGCTGACCTCATTACGTACCTCCGCACTAGTGACACTCGCTACCGCGCTGCGCTTCCTGCTGACTTCTGCGCCAAGAACCCCCCCCCCCATGTACATCACCCTCTACTACATAGTCACCCGGCTCCCTGACTCTCTCCGTGTAGTCAGGGACCACTTCCTCTCATTTTGCCCCACCACTCTCACCGTTGAACTCTTCAAGAAGGCCCTCCTAGCAGCAGAGAAGAGCATAGTCGCTCTAGGAGCCTCTCGTGGTGACCCTCGCACCCCCGTCTTTGAGGGGTGTTCCCCCTCCCCCCTTTTGCCCTCTGTTGCCTCTGCTGCTGCGGCCGACCTCGCTGGTTTCCACTCGGTCGGCGCTGCGTCTGCCCCGAGCTGGAGATGCCGCACCGGCAAGGGCAAGGGGGGCAAGGGCGCTGGAGGGGCTGGCGGGGTTGGCGGAGGTGGCAGTGGCGGCAGTGGAGGGGGTGGGGGTGGTGGTGGGAGTGGTGGCGGGGGTGGAGGTGTCGGTGGCGGCAGTGGAGGCAGAGGCGGAGGCGGCGGTGGCGGTGGGGGCGGAGGTGGCGCAGGTGGCGGCGGGGAAGGAGGCAGCAGCGGAGGAGGCGGAGCTTGTCGGGGTGGCGCTGCGCAGAGGGTCGGCTCCGGTGGTGGTCAGCGCCAGCAGCAGCAGCAGCAGCGCACTCGTGACATCCCCCCCCCCCTCAGCAGCATCAAAGTCAAGATCAAAGATAGCTACTCCCGCCCTAGACAGCTCGCCCCAGCGAGGGATCTCAGTGGCCTCAGGGAACTGGTGACGCTAAGCATCCGTCAGGCGGCCAAAGCAGCGCTGGGTGGAGTGCGCACCAGCGCTGGTGGTGATGGAGCAGTACCACTCAATGGAGCAGTACCACTCAATGGGCATTGAGACTGCTGCTCCAGGTACTGATGAGGCTGCTGCTCTAGGTGCTAGCAAGACTGTTGCTCTAGGTGCCAGTGCGTCTGCTTCCTCAGGTGCTGGTGAGTCTGCTCTCTCAGGTACCGCGTCGGCTTCGGCCTCCAACACCTTCACCCTTGACTCGGGGGCTTCTCGCTCTTTCTTTCGAGACCGCACCATACTCACGCCGCTTGGTCGGCCACTTGCAGTCTCTCTGGCAGACCCCTCTGGGGGTCCTGTCCTTGCTCACTTCTCCACTGTCCTCCCGTGTCCGGCAGCCCCCTCTAGCACCCTGTCTGGTCTTTACCTCCCCTTGTTCTCTACGAACTTGGTGAGTGGTGCTGACCTACAGGATGCGGGGGTTCACCAGTTCACTCCTGCGAGTCAGCGGGTGACCCACTGCACGGACGCTCGGACAGGCAGACACCTGGCCACGTTTACACGTCGGCCGAGGTCGAGCCTGTACACACTGACCACTGATTCTCCTCCTGTCACAGCGTCTGGTCAGGTAGCTGCGTCGGGTCAGGTGTTTGATGCAGCGTCCAGGTCTGGTCCTGAGTCTGCCCCCTGCTCGTGTCGCCTCCTGTCTCACGAGACTCTCCTCTGGCACCACCGTCTTGGTCACCCTTCCCTGCTTCGTCTCCGAAGCATGGCCTCCCGTGTTCTTGTCTCTGGTCTTCCCCGGTCCCTCCCTCCCCTTCCCCCGGGGCCTGCCCCTGCCTGCGTCCCCTGCGTCAAGGGGCGGCAGCGTGCTGCCCCTCACTCCTCCCAGTTTCCTCCGACAGAGGCCCCGCTGCAGACGCTTCACATGGACGTGTGGGGCCCAGCCCGCGTCCGTGGACAGGGTCACGAGCGCTACTTCCTGCTGGTGGTTGACGACTACTCGCGTTACACCACAGTCTTCCCCTTGCGCAGCAAGGGTTAGGTCACTGAGGTGCTGATCGACTGGATCCGCGCAGCTCGTCTCCAGCTCAGGAAGAGCTTCGGCTCGGACTTGCCTGTTCTGCGTCTGCACTCTGACAGAGGCCGAGAGTTCTCCTCTGGCCTTCTACAAGCCTACTGTCGTGCACGGGGCATCCGCCAGACCTTCACGCTTCCGGACTCTCCACAGCAAAATGGGATTGCTGAGCGCCGCATTGGCATGGTCATGGACGTCGCTCGTACATCCATGATGCATGCGGCTGCCCCCCATTTTCTGTGGCCGTTTGCGGTTCGGTACGCGGCGCATTAGATCAACCTTCAGCCACGGGTCTCCATGGCGGAGACCTCCCCAGCTTTGCTATGGATGGGGAAGGTTGGCGATGCGTCTGCGTTCCGTGTCTGGGGATCTCGGGCGTTTGTCCGCCACTTGTCTACAGACAAGCTGTCCCCTCGTGCTACTCCTTGCGTCTTCCTTGGCTTCCCCTCTGATGCGCCTGGGTTGCAGTTCTACCACCCCACCTCTCGCCGTGTTCTGTCCTCCCAGGACTTCACGTTTGACGAGGCGGTCCCCTACTACCGCCTCTTCCCCTACCGCACTCCGTCCCTCCCCCCGCCACCGCTCTTCCTTGTGCCAGGTCCCCCCCCGGTAGACCCCCTCCCCCCTCAGGGTCCTGCCCCTTCAGGTGTGTCCCAGGTAGACGCAGTCGAGCCTGTCGAGGTTGCTGGTGACTCTGGTGCTGCTAAGGGTGCTGTACCTGGGGGTGCTGACTCTGGGGGTACTGAGCGTGTGGGTGCTACGCCTGAGGGTGCTGAGCCTGAGGGTGCTACTCCTCGGGGTGCGGAGCCGGAGCGAGCTGGGCCTACTCGTGTCGCGTCTGGCGGTACTGTGCCTGGAGGTTCTCCGAGTGCTTCGTCTCGGCGGGAACCACTCTCTTCACAGGAGCTGCGCGAGTGGTTTGTCCGACGCTGGAGGCGTGCCGCTGGAGCTGGAGGTTCTTCGGCTACTGAGGGTGCTGGTGTCAAGGGTCCCGGAGGTGCTTGTACTGGGAGTACTGGAGCTGCTGGGCCTGCGGGTACGACTGGAGCTGGAGCTGCTGAGGGTGTTGGCGCTGAGGCTACTGCTATTGGTCCTGGAGGCGGTCCTGCTGGGGGTACTACTGGTGCTGCTGAAGGTACTGGAGCTGGAGGTGCTCCTTGCACTGGTGCTGCCGGTGGGGGTGCTGGTGCTGTCCCTGCTGTGTCTCGAGTCGCCGCGCTGCCTCGGCCGTACTTCGTTCCGCTCCTTCAGCAGGTTCTTGGTCTCCCGCCTTCTACTGGTCCTCCTCCTCCCTTAGAGTGTCCACCGCCTGTCCCGTCACAGTTACAGTTACAGCCGTCCTCCCCACTGCCTGCTCCTTCTCCCTACACTGATCCTACTGGAGGTCTTGCTAAGCATCGTGAGCCTGCGTCTCGCCCCGCGTCGCCTGTCCGTGCTGCCCGCACTAGTGGTCGTGGTTCGCGTCAGCGTCCTCCTCCTGTCCCTGGCACGCACCAGATGTCTCTGTGTCCGTCCACTGCTCCTCTGCGTGCCCCTTTGCCTTCTCCTCCTGAGTCCTCTCTTCCTGCTCTTCCCAACCCGGAGTCGGACTCTCTTCATGCTGCCAGTCCTACTGTCACGCGTCTCCTTGCTACTGTCGTCACTGACCCTTCCTTTGAGTCCACTGCTGCGTCTGCCCTAGTTGCTGAGCTCGTCGACTTTGCTGCTCGCTGTCGTCTATGCTACGCTACTAGTCTTGTCGCTGAGTCTGCGTCTTTCTGTCCTCCGTCCGTCGGGGGTGAGTGTCCCCTTGGCACAGACGTCGTTGAGGACAGGCATGAGAAGTTCCAGTGTTTGGCTGCTGCTTCACCTCATCTCGTGTTCGTACTGCTTACTCCTGAGGGAGACCCGGATGCACTTGACATCCCGACTCTGCGCTCTTAGGCGGAGGCGATAGAGGGTCCCTACTCCTCTCAGTGGCAGGTAGCTATGGACACAGAGATGGCTTCCTAGAAGTCCACAGGAACCTACGTTGACGAGGTTCCCCCTCTTGGGGCGAACATCGTCAGTGGCATGTGGATTTTCAGGGTGAAGCGGCCGCCGGGTTCTCCGTCTGTCTTCAAGGCGCGTTACGTGGCTCGTGGCTTCAGTCAGCGGCAGGGAGTTGACTACTTTCAGACCTTCTCTCCCACCCTGAAGATGACCACTCTTCGGGTACTGCTGCACATAGCTGCTCAGCGCGACTACCAGCTGCACTCTCTTGACTTCTGCACTGCTTTCTTGTAGGGCAGCCTGCACGAGGAGATCTGGCTGCGTCGCCCACCTGGCTTCACTGGGTCTTTTCCTTCTGGCACCCAGCGGAGCCTCCGGCGGCCAGTCTACGGTCTCCGCCAGGCACCCTGTGAGTGGCACGACACACCGAGGACTACACTTGGGGCTCTTGGGTTTGCTCCTTCAACTGCCGACCCGTCGCTGTTTCTACATCCTCGTGTACGTCGACGACTTGGTCTTTGCCACAGCTGACACTGCTGGACTCGCCCACGTGAAGTCCGAGTTGCAGAAGAGACACACGTGCACAGACCTGGGTGAACTGCGCAGCTACCTTGGCCTGCAGATCACCCGGGACAGAGCACGCCGCACCATTACCCTGACTTAGTCACACATGGTGCAGCAGGTCCTTCAGCGCTTCAACTTCACGTACTCCTCGCCTCAGGCCACTCCTCTGCCTACTTCCCACTCGCTCTCAGCTCTACCTTTGGATGAGTCCGTAGAGCCGAGTGGCCCGTACCCAGAGCTTGTTGGTTGCCTCATGTACCTGATGACCCGCACACGACCTGACCTTGCATACCCTCTTAGCATCTTGGCACGCTATGTTGCTCCTGGCCGACACCGACCAGAGCACATGGCTGCAACGAAGAGGGTGTTGCGCTACTTGTGCAGTACGTCGGGCATGGGGCTTGTGCTTGGAGGGCAGAGTCCAGTGGTCCTCACTGGGCACGCAGACGCTTCTTGGGCTGACGACCAGGCTACGCAGCGGTCGTCACAGGGTTACACCTTCAGCCTTGGTTCCGGCTCTGTTTCGTGGCGGGCTACCCTCTCGTCTTCTGTTCTCGGCTCTAGTTGTGAGGCTGAGATCTACGCTCGGGCTATGGCTGCACAAGAGCTTCGCTGGCTCACCTACCTGCTGACAGACCTTGGAGAGCCGCCTCGTTCTCCTCCAGTGCTGTACGTAGACAACAAGGCCATGCTGGCCTTGTGTTGAGAGCAGAGTCTGGAGCACAGAACGAAGCACATTGCTCTTCGCTACTTCCTTGCTCGTGAGCTACAGCAGCGTGGTCAGCTGCGCCTTGCGTACGTGGCCTCTGAGGCCAACACTGCTAATATCTTCACCAAGGCACTTGCGCCTTGTGATCATCAGCGCTTCTGTACTCAGCTGGGTCTTGTGCCTACTTTGCCTCACTTGCTCACCCCTTGACCTTGTTTGTACTGCTGCATATATATATATACACCTGCTCTTGCTTGTCTAGCCCTATATATATATGTAATCCTGCATGTGAACTGGCCGTGTGGCCTTGAACTTGTGCTCGGAATGTGTGGTGACTTTGTGATCCACCTTGAGCTTGCTTTGCTTTGCTTTGCTTGACTGGTCTTGTGACCCCTTGTTCTCCCCCACTTTGCCTATAGGGGTGTGTCAGATTTACATGACATAGCCGTTGTAGGCTATAGTGGGGTAGCACATATGGGGTACGACTTTCTAGGGTTTGTACTTGTACCCAACTTTCCCTTAGTCAATTCATTCTCGTTCATTTTCTCAAAATTCATCCGACCGAGTTCGTCACCGTTCGCCGCACCGATACTGTTCATGCCGAAAAAGGACGGAGGGTTTTCATGTGCATCGATTACAGGGCACTGAACAGGGTAATGGTCAATTCTCGATAGCCCATTCCTCGCGCCGACGAACTGATCGATCAACTGCGAACATCACGGGTTTTTTCGAAAATCGATATACGGGGAGGTTACCATAAGATTCGGGTCGAACCATGGGACTGCGCCA